GTGGCATCGCCAGAGGGCGCCCAGTCGATGACGTGCACAGGGGGCGCTGGAGCCTTCGGGCAGTAGGCAGGGGACACCCCGAATTGGTTGCCAGCCAATCGTTCGGGCACACAGAGACGAACAACGCTCTCACCTAGGGACAATTGAGAGTGACCAATCAGCCTGCCATGCATGTTTTTTGGAATGTGGGAGGAAACCGGAGTACCCGGAGAAAACCCACGCAGGCCCGAGGAGAACATGCAAACTCCACACAGGGAGGCCGGAGCTGGAATTGAACCCGGTACCTCTGCTCTGTGAAGTCGACGTGCTCACCACTGGACTACCGGGCCGCCGTTACTACATGTACATGTTTACTGTATTTTGCTATTCATACACGAAGATTTATACAAGACTTATACATGTTTAAATATATCAGTATATAGTGTTAACGAATGTAAATGACTACAAACACTTACTTCTACATGCACGTATCGAATTAAATTTGGCCTTATAAATATTTTTTCTACTCATACACATGTACATGTACCTATACGGGGTGGGGGGTTCGCTACTTTGCGGATTTTCGTTTATCGCGGGTGGTTTCGGTCCCCATTAAGTGCGATAAACGAGGGATGCCTGTACATCAGAAAGGATTGGCCACTCTTCACAATTCTTTGTCATTTCAAGTCGCCTCCACCTCCAGTCGGACTTGATTCATGACAGACGCGGCTTTGGGGTGAGAGAGAGCCAGAGAGAAAGAGAGATGGCGTGAGCGGCATGGATGGCAAGCAGCCAGTGCTCAGCGACCTTTGCGCAGCAAAACACCCCCCGCCCTACGCAAACGTCACAGCCCTCTTTGCTGACCGGACGCTCCCCGAGTGGGGAACATGGACTTGTTCTCCTCGTCTGTGGGGCCACATTTCAGAGCTCCCTGCATCACTTCCACGCTGCCGCCACCGTCAAGAGCAGGAGGGAGAGGAGGAGGAGGAAGGTCCACCGGGGACACGTTGGAACGGACTGCATGTAAGAGCACCTGACAGACAGGTAAGAAGCATCAATCAGGGTGGTGCCCAAAAAGGGGGGGTGGGTTCCCTAATTTAGCCACCAAAGCCAGTTTTACTTCGTAACATGACATTCGGTAGACATGTCTATGATAAGGAGACCCACAAAAAAGTCTCAAGAAGCCATACCGCGAAGCGCACAAAAGTCGGATAGTCTGACTCAAATCCAATTTCAATCCAGAGAGTAGTTTTTAAATTCAGTCCCCAAATGTGGTACTTCTATCTGTTATGAATAGACCCACAAAAAAAAAAAATCTCCAGAAACCATGTTGGAAAGTCATTTTGGCTCTAGAGCTGCATTTTTGAAATGTCTTTCGGTCATTATTTCATTTCGGCCACAAGCCAGTTTCAATTTGTTGCCATCAAAATTGAAAGGCATGTCGATTATTCGTCCGTCAACAGACAAAAAGCCTCAAGAATCCATGCCATACCGTTTTGGCTCCAAGAGGCCAAAAACAAGTTTGGGGCTATCGAGGTGTTCTCATTTTGTTTCGTCTCTCATCAATGGCCCCACTAAAAACTCTCACGCACGCAGGGGGTGTGCCATTTTGCCTTTGGGGGCCATTTTAGGCCTCTTAGTTTCTGTTTGTTTGCAATGTTTTTGGCCCTTGAAGCCAGTTTGGACATCACAATGTGGTCGGACGTGTCTACGGCGAGTCGACCCACGCAAAACATTTCCCCAAGCCATATTTGAAGAGACACAGGAAAGTCTTTGCCTTCACCCACAGTTTTATTTGATTTGAATCCAGTTTCGTGTCCATTTTGAGGAGCCCCACAAAACATGTCTGGTTAAGCCATTCCACCAACACGTTTCCTTCCCTCGACGGCGCGCGGATGCCGTTGGCCTCGTCTCTAATTGTTCGTACGCAGCGACAGGGCGGGCGGGTCGTGTCACGTTGCGCTTCTCTCCCGAGGGGCCTCTCGGACACAAGTAACGAGTTGACTATTTTGGGAGCCAAAAGTCCCAAAGACTCGATCTGAGGGACAAGTCTGGATGCTTCCGATCTTTCCATCTCCGCCGTCCGCCCACGTCAATGTTCCTGATCAACATGAGCGCGTTCGGTTTTGAGACAGTCCAGCGGCGGCGAGGCCGCTGTCAGAGAAAGCCGACAGAGAGCAGACGTCACAAAATGACAGAGTCCAGACGCAAACGCTGACAGTGAAGACGGGGACAACTGCGTACATTTGGAGATTGTGCTTCGCTTTCCCCGTTTGAAGATGAAACCCTCATGAGAAACTTCAAAGCCAACTTCCAAAGTCCTCAACCCTGATTTGAGACTCCGACTCGAGACCTCGCCATGTGAATCCCTCAGCCTTGTTTGAAACCCAGCCAAATACTGAAACCCTCAACTTGTCTCCAAACCCGACTTCCGAGCCCTCACCCCCTGTTTAGAACTCTAAGCAATTCTTTAACCCCTAATTTGAAACTTTAACTCGAGGTTCAATTGCAGGCTCGCACCTCGAACCCATTCTTGAGAGCCAAAGCTTAATTTGAAACACTCAAACTTGTTTGAACACCTAAACTATGATCGAATTAGCAATGGTTTCAACCCCTAACCCTCGCTTGATGAACCCCTTGCGATTATTAGAAGCGTTATTTGAAACCATAACCCAGCATTGAAACACTCGCTTTTCACCTTCGGCCTTGTTTAAAACCCAAATTGTCTGACAAACCCACTTTTGTTTGTTTGTTTGTTGTTGTTGTTTTTTTCAAAACTTTAACCGTAGTTTAAAAACCTAACCCTATTTTATGTTTTATTTTGTATGTTATATTTGATAACCCTCACCATTGTCTGAAACATGACCTGATCCCAATTCGACGCCCTGATCCATCCCAGAAGCCATAATTGCGCCTGCCGACCTTCATTTTAAACCCTAACCTTGCTTTGAAAGAGAAAGGTAAAACCCCAAGCCACAAGGTGTCAAACTCAAGGCCCGGGGGCCAGATTCGGCACGCCATGTGTGGCCATATGCCATATGTGGCCCGCTAAAGCAAATCGTGGGTGTCAACTTCCATGATGCTTGCTAAAATCTGTACCAAATTGTCATGGGTAATAAATAATTTTGAGATTTTGCAACCCCGCAAATTAAATTTGCGACCCCGTTTACACTCACTAGAACAATAATTGAACAAACAACAAACAAATAGTTGACTGATTTCAAAACTAGCAAGCCATCAATTTTTGGGGTGTACAAGTAAGAATACGATGTGATGATGAAACGTTTCTTCGTTTTCTGTCGTCACGGCCCTCCGAGGGATAATGTAACTCCAAAGTGGCCCGCGGCAAACATGAGTTTGACACCCCTGCCCTAAACCGAGCTTGAAACCCTCCTTCCACATGCGCCAAACGTGCTTGTTTCTTGACTGTTTGCCACTCGTGCGGGCGTGTGTCGTGCGTGCGACTGCTCGACTCCCCGCGTCAAACGTCCATTTGCATTCGCATCCGAATCGAGCAGTTTGCGTCGGGCCTTGTCATCCGCCCAGCCCTTTGCTCTGCGCGGGGTGCGACCTCCTGAGCGTGCACAATGTCTCATCAATGTCTCTTGTGTGGACTTTGAATGGTGCGCATTTGTTCTGACGTGACACCAGCAGGCAGTGCACTTTGCCTGCATGCTCAGCCCCCCCCCCCCAAAAAAAAAAAAAAAAACAGCACCGTTGTTGTTCTCATGGCTGAGAGCAGCTTGTAAATTTTAGGAACATCTTTCCATTTCGATTTATTGCAATGCACAATAAACGATATGCACATCTAAATAAACAAACCAGATATGTACAATTACAGATGGGACCAGTGACTCATTTCCGCCGTTTTTCATGAGGCGATTTTCGGGTGATCACACAAGGTCTGTCTTGCACTCTTTGATAAGAAAAAAAATGCTCCGGCTTCTTCAAAATGTGTTTTCCCACATCGAGTATCGAGTGGAATCTCCTCTATTGGAGATGATGATTTTCGTGCATGAGTGATACAGTGAAACTCCTCTGCAACGAAACTTTTGCAACGAAAATACCCCCTAATGTGAAAACATTTTCATGCATGATAGCCATTCCCACTTTTCTGCCCCCCCCCCCACGACGAAAAAGCCCCCTGTTCCGTTTCACGAAATCTTTTTCTCTGCTCTTGCCTCGGAAGACATTCACTACACCGAAAACAAGCCTTCCGCAAAAGTCTAATCCAACAGCGACCTCTACTGCTTTGTTCGGAAAAGGCAACAGAAAACACCACGCTGGTTTACACATGCGCAGCAGTCGAGGAAGTATTTGTTATTGTTAGTTTTAGACGCAGCAAGCGTTACATTGCTAAAATGGCTACAAAACGGACCTTTGGATGTCGATCAGCTAAGACAAGAAGAGCTCTGATGCTGGAAGAGAGGGTAAAAGTGATCAAAATGAAAGACGGAGGAAGCAAAATAAAAGACATTATCCAAGAAATTGATGTAAGTCAAAGTGAATGCTGATCGTAAATTTCGCAATTTCTTTCTTTTTCACGAATGGATAGAAAATTCCAATTTTGCTTTACAACATGACTGGTTTATGGGTGTTTTTTTTTAAGTTTTGTGTCATTATTTATTACATGAGGGGGTAGATGCTGATGATAAAACACCTGAACCCATGTCCCTGAGAGACAGTCTCAACAATATTACAGCACTCATTGAAGATGCTGAAGGCAGAGGAAACATGGAATGGAAGTGTTGGGAAGCAAAAGAGTATGAATGCCTTTTTAAAAACCAACAGACAAAGTGGAGTGATTAATGTAAAACAATTGTGTTGCCTAATTTCGGTCCACCGGGATGAACTCGCCGTCTGTTTTCCGGGTTTGGTCACGTGACATTCGCCATGCGAGCTCGGGGGCAGGCTTGAAGTTGGTTTCAGTTGCCAGAAGAGGGCGGTATTGGCCTGAGGGAGACGGGCGAGTCCGCTCACTTCTTCAGCCGCGAGTGCGATATATTATCGTAGTTCACTGGGTGGGGAAACCGAACAAATGTCTTGACCCCTTTTGACACCATGATCGTTGCCTTTTTTATTTGTCCAAAACCGTAGCCCGAATATCAAACCTTCACCCTTGCCCCCTTCTGTACAGCTCCATGTGGCCCCGCGGCCACCAGAACCGTGGCGGCTCAGCCGCGGGGTGGCCCCCGCCGGCACCGCGCCGCCCGCCCCCCATCAGCGGCAGCAGCGTGGCGCCCAACCCCACATACTTCCACGCCCTGTACGACGTGGGAGCCGACCGCTACGGGGGGCCGCCCTTGGTCGGCGACACCTCCGTCCCGTCGGTGCGCAGGAGGGGGGCGTTGGTGGTCCATCGTGACGTCATCTTGGCCCACCAGGAGCACAAGAGGCTCAACACGCCCAAGGCCAGGAGGAAGCAGTGGGAGTGAGTACCACTCTTGGATTATTTTTTTGAAACATCTGTGATTAACTAATTCAAAACAATGGCATTTTATTCGTGATTCGATTGTGATTTTCCCGCACACATAAAAGACAAATGAAAGTCTTAATTTAATGATGATTTTTAAAAATCATCCAAATGCGAATGCATTTATTACATGTAGCGAATAATGACATTCAATAAATAACTTTGTCACTGTCACTGATGACAGCATCGAGGGGTGGGTTGTGGTGATGCAGTTTTGCTCACGGCCGCCAGATGTCGCAAGACTCACAGTAACGAACGAGGCCGTACGTCACGTGCCGATGGCACGACGAGATGAGGATTTCCAATCAACCCGGCAAAACAAACGTTTTCAGTGCATCGCCTGAAGATTGAGTGAGATTAGACGATCAAACGAAATGAAATGAGACATTTGGCTGCTTCACTTGACAGCACATTCGTTTTTTTTCCTCCTCAGCTTGGGGGGGGGGGGCACTTCAATCTTGCTGCTTGTTGTTGCTGACGCTTGGCGTTGTGTCGATGGCATTGTGTTGTGCTCCTGTATCACAATCAGCTAATAGTCTGGGTGCAGCGACAGCACCTTTTGCGGAATTCCAACGACAATACGAGCAATTAGTTAATTCCTCCGCCGACATCAGCAGTCCTCGTAAATTGTCGGGAAATCTCGACTTTCCCAGCCGCCTTGAAGGCAACGGGATCATAAACCACCAAAGTTGTGTTTTGAAGGTGATCGATGAGGACGCTGCTTATTTGTGATTCGGATGAAGTCTTTGAGCGGTCCCTCAGAGTCACCCCGCTTTCTGATTGGCAGTCAGCTGGCCACGAAAGCCCCTCCCCCTACTTTATTTTTTCCAAATGAAACTTGTAACTATTCTATCTTTAGTGTTTTATTCACATGCATAACCATTCATTAATATTTTTTTTCAAGCAAACTGGGATCCTGTAGTTCAACAAACTTGGTGTGATAAGAGAAAAATAGTGATCCCTTTTGGGTTCCGCAGCCAAAAATGAGATAAAAACAGCTTGCGGACCTAACTCGCCAAAAAATGCTCCTGGGGTAAGATGGAGCGATTGATAGATGACTATGGTCCTCACCTCCTCTTTGACCCCCCACTGCCCCCCCCATCTCATTCACATCAGTTGAGGTGAGCACACTTCCCCTCTTCCTCCTTTTCCATCCTCCACTAAGCAGTTTATCAAATCATACAGCAGCGTGAGAAGCAGCTTACCGGTAACTTGTACGCTTCGTCAGCTGGCAAACTTTGCCTGCCCCTCACACACACACACACACACACACACACACACACACACACACACACACACACACACGTCATCTTTTTTTTCGACAGCCGAGTCGGCGGTTTGCCGGCAAGACTCGATCGTTTTCCTCCGTTGTTTTCCCAGTTGTTTGACTGGTTGCCAGGATACGACTTTTGTCAATCATCAGATCTCTTTTTTTCTTACTTCCTGTTGGAGCCCAAGACCCTCATCAAAGCTTGTTGTCGCTTTCGGATCCCGCAAAGTATTTTTGGAGCAACGCTATGAGACCCCCTTTTAGCCAATCAGAAGCCAGAAGAAAGTCACATGTGGAAAAGGCACAGCAGCAACACTGAAAATGTCATTTGGCAACATTTTCACAGAAAAAAATGTCAGCAACAGATCACAGTAGCCTTGATAGATCAGCTGTTTGCTGAAACTGAGCCATGATTGGTTGTTACCCGATCCCTGAGCAACTGTGATGTCATTTTCAGTCGACAGCAAGTTGCAAAATGGCCGCCCCTTGAGATGCACCAAAGCCGGCGCGTTTTACCGCTTTACTCATATTCCACAAACGCAAAATGAATCACATTGTTTCGACGAGTAGGACTTGACGGTGCCTAAAATTTTAAAGACAAATTTTGGCTTGACTTCCCCTTTCAGCAACATTCAAGGACCAAAAATGCGCAGACGTAGCTCGTGTGTGTGTGTGTGTGTGTGTGTGTGTGTGTGTGTGGGTGGGTCTGCTGGGTGAAATCAGAGTGTGTGAATGGAACAGAAAGGTTTCAGTATGGCGGGGGCGGTCTCAAGCAGGGAGGTACTAGGACTTCCAGCGGGGGTTTCCTGTGTGCCTACGCACACACGCGCACACACACACAGACAAAAAACATCATCCTCAGCTTAAACGTCGTCAATAAGACACGCGTCACGTCGGCCATGCCAGCGCCAAGCAGTGGGCTCTCGTGGCGCGCACCTCCCCTCGCTCTTCCTCCCCCTTCCTCGTTATTCCCGACAGCGCGCCGTGCTTCCGGTAGCGGCGATGGGCAAGGGGCTTTTATCGCGCCTGCAGCCCTTTTACGGGAATCAAATGACGCAGACAGAGCGCGCAACGCCATCACCACTTGCAAACACCGACCAGTGCTCGAGCAGGTTGCGATGACGGCTCGTCGGTCCGATTTGTAATTCATATACCAGGAAAAATGTAATTATGGTCGGATTTGGCTGAGTTTCTTTTTAACTTTCCTCATAGGGAATTCAGCGGAAGAATCTGCTCTCGGATCAAAATGTACGTAAATGTGAACATAAAAAGGAAGCGGAAAGAATTGTCCGCCGCAATGTGTGAAATAAAGTATACAGCCATGCTCTTCAAACAGAAGGATAGACAAAGTGGAACACAATCGTGAACTGGAAAAAAAACATCTCTGTTTTAACCTTGGGCGGCCCGGTAGTTGAGGGGTTAGCACGCCGACTTCACAGTGCCGAGGTACCGGGTTCAATTCCAGCTCTGGCCTTCCTTTGTGGAGTTTGCGTGGCTTTTGTCCGGGTCCTCCGGTTTCCTCTCGCCTTCCAAAAACATGCACGGCAGGCGGATTGAACACTCTAAATCGTCCCTGGGTGTGAATGTAAGCGTGAATGGTTGTTCGTTTCTGTGTGCCCTGCGATTGGCTGGCAACCCGTTCAGTTTTGTTTTGTTTTTGTTTTTACAAATTAAACCGAAGTAGGGCATGCTAAAAACAATTGATATAAAAGGTGTTTGTCTTTGAAAAATTGATTTTTTCTTCTATAAAGGACAGATTTGTGCAATGTGCGCCTAATAGTTGTCCTATGGACAGATCCCCCCCCCCCCCCCCCCCCCACACCCACCACCACCCCGACTACACACGCGCGTTCATCCAGAGTGATCACGGGCAACTTGGCTGCATCTTTGGTCAGGGCTCTCCTAATAGCTTCAGGGGATGACCAGGTCTTGGTTAGCCTTGTAGTGATCACAACCCCTCTCCGTTTCAATATCTGCGATCAAGCGGTGCTCTGTCAGATGTTTAAAGCTGCCCGGTGTGTCCTTTGGTCTTGATGATGCTGTTTGCCGCCCACTATTCTTTGAACAGAGGCCCGAGACCATCCCGGAGCAGCTGCATTTTATACTGAGACTAGATGACACACAGGTGGACGCTCTCTGTCATTTAGGTCAACATTGGAACAGAGAGGGAAACTGCTGGAGTCAGTTGGCTGCACTGAGAGAAAAGGGGGGGGGGATAATTTTACCCGTCTTACTTTGCAGGTTTTTTTCATACACATTTCTTTCCATTTTACGATTGTGTGTGTCACCCTTGATGTTACTTCTTCACCAAAAAAAATAATAATAATAATAAAAAATCCTTTACTCCACCATGAGTACTGCATACTTTATCTAGATATGAATGGAAACCAAAAGCAGTGAGAATAGAGAAAAAAAATCTGTATGATCCATACTAACTACTTCTACTGTATGGCAACATGAAAATGGTTCAAGCAGCAAGACGAGACGGCGGCGTTTTGCGTCGGCGTTTCATTTCAACAGGAGCAGGGAAACTCCCTCTGGCCAGGAAGTTTCTGTTGACTTTTAAAACAATTTTTTTTTTGTTCTAAATTGCCTCCTGAGGGACAGAGCGGCCGAGTCCACCTGAGAAAGATGCGAGTTCATTTGCCAAGCTAACGCAAACTGCTAACCTTTCTTAGCTGTTGACAGATGGCGAGAGGCCGCTTGAAAGATTTCATCACTCTGGACAGCTCCGGGAGGCCTTGGAAAGATGTCAGTGTGTTTTGAAAATATGCTGAAAACACTGTCCTCCACCTCTATTTTCTTTTTGTGTTTGTTTTCAATTTCGATTCAGGAGAAAAGCGTCCGAGCGAGAGCTGCACTTTTGTGTGGGTGAGGCGACAGCTTGCTGGCAAGCGACTCTTTGGGAAGCTTCAAACAGCAGTCAAATGTGCAGCCAGACCGGCAGAAGGCTCGGCGGAGTTGAAGGGAGAGAAAGATGGAAAAAAAAAATCATAACAATAACAGCAAAAAGTTCAAAAACATCCTCAAAATAAACGCAGGTCCGGTAAAAGACAAACAAAACTCGCCCAAACTTGCCTGCTGCCAATCGCTCTCACCAACGAACTGCAACATTAGAGCACACTGAGGCATATTTTATAAAAAGAAAGAAAATACATTGAAAAAAAAATTTTAATGAAAATATTGGCTCGTGTGTGTATGTAGCTTTCCTTTTAAATTTTTTTTAAATCAATTAAAACTTAATAAAAATAGGGTGATGTCACAAACATGTAAAACCTTTTACACATGTTCCTACATTATAAATGTTTTGAATTTATTTTAAAAATATATAAAGTTGGTATAATATTCCTTTATTTTTTTCACATTTTCAATCAAGATATGTTTTAAAAATTAAAAACAGCATGATGGCGCGAATATAAAAAATAACATGTTTGAATGTTTTTACAATTTAAAAAAAAATGAAACACAAATCGAAAACTGGTGTAACATTCCTTTTTTGTTTTTTAAAAATTCCTTTCAGTGCAGGTTGATTTTTTTCATGAAAAACAGATGATTGTCTCTGTATTCACATCTTAACATTTTAAAATATATTTTCTTGAAAAACACATTGGGTGATATCCACAACATGCAAAAATGACCCACATTAAAAAAAAACATTTTATTCATAAAATGTTTTATGAATAAAATGTTTTTTTAAAAATAAATGAAAATAAACATGGACGCTCGTAAAATTTAAATAAATATCTGAACAACAGACTGTTTGGCTCATTTAACTTTTTGAAGATTTTATTAACCTGGAAAACAAATTTTATGTCTATGTTAACATACGCAGCGGGCCAATAATTTCTTACTACTATTTTATTTTATTTTTTTTCCAGTACCGCGGGCTGTAAAACGGCCCCTTCGGACATGCCCACATGAAGGCTTGCGTTATATATTTGTCATTGCAGCCGCATTTCCACTGAGTGCCTTGGTCCAGTTTGCGGTTTGGAAGTGTACATCCTGGAATGTGTGTGCGTTCGTGAAGGCGGGATCAGCTCTGGAAACAGTTGTGACATCATCACCTCGCGTCTTCCGTTTCAAGTCATACGTGTCACTTTTTCAACATTGAGGCAGAGGTATTGACAACGAAATTTCTACTCCTTGCACCGAAAGCCCCCTTTTCACAGTCCTTCTCCATCCTGAAGGACGCCGTCACTTCTTGTCAGCTCTGATTGATGGACCAAATCAATTAACAAAGTCATTAATTACAGCTAACCATTGATTTCTCACAGTTCGACCCCAGAATAAAAAATTACGGAAGAACACTAACAATGTGAAATCAATGTCGTCTGACTTGAAATTGGCAAAAATCGGCTTTTGTGGAGCAGGCTGGGTTGCAGATTTTTTTCATATTTTTCAAACACATGAGTAGATTAAAGACAAAGAGAATGATGTTCAAGCATTCCCTCCTTCAAAAATCGGATTTTTTTTAATTTGCAGAATTTCCCAGTTTTTTCCCTGTGTGTGTGTGCGTGTGGGTGTATAAGTGCTATCAGGTGATCAAAAGGTGCAATTAATTAATTAGGTCTGTAATTAATTAATCTGTATTTTAATCTCATCTAAAATGACTGAGAACACCCCTATTTTCATTTCAAATTTGTTACATTATTGAAGCGGATCAAAAGATAAAAGAAAAAGTGGCATTATAAAGTATTTTATTGTTTTTCAGCAGACTTGGACAGATGCAGTCCTAGCCATTTACTTTCTGCTGTATTTGAGATTAGTCAAAGTCCGACCTGCAACCTTTCGTTTCGACCACGAGGGGGAATATCACTGTTTTGTTTGTTTTTCAAAATCTCCAAAGAATGACAAAATAAAAATAAAATAGAACATCAGGTCCCCAAAAAGTGTTGAGGTTAACATATCAAAAATAGTAAGAACAATTTTTTGAGCAAAACAAGTACTCAACACTGAACTTGCTTTAGATAAGAAACAATAAATAAAACAGACCCTTACATCACAGTGCTGTAAGTTAGCACTTCAGAAACAACACTGTTCATCATGACAAAGTAAAAGTGCTGAAATAAACATCAATCACTTCGAGTAGTCTACGGAGGACACATCAACTATGCCTCGTACGTGGGCTGTTCTCGAGGTTAGTTTGCCAAAGAGCTTTGCTATGAATGGCTCGCTGGCTACATTGCTAACCCGTTTCGGTGCTAACGTTCGCTGTGGCTGCACTCGCGACTGGATGCTTTGCATTGATGTGTGGGAGACTAAATTTGAGCTGCTTCGGTGGTAAGCAAACTCCTTCTTACAAATTAGGCACAACGCTCTACCTTTATAAATTGTGTCGTCAGGGCGTTTTTGGAATGTACATTTTCCATTCATTGTGCCGAGAACTCTCACATGCTGCTGCATTTTCACACCTCCACTCCTCACTGCTGCTTACTAAACTCGCCCAACTCCAATGGGAGCCAATCAGCTTATGCTAAACAAGCACAAACTAATGACAGCCAATCAATGTCCGCTCCAGGCTGTGACTGACAGTTGTTTCGCCACCCTCAACAACTCGAACACAGGAAGCCAACGCATAAAAAGGGCTATTCGAAAAAAAGCAACCCACTTACAGAAACAACAAAAGGCAGAGATTAAAATATAGATTAACGTTGCAAAAGAAGCATTAAATGTGCTGTAATTAATTAATCGCAATTAACGCACTAATTTGGCACCTATAATGTATATAAAAAATCTTTTAAAATTATTGATGTATTTATTTTTATTACTTGGCAGAGGAATTGGTTAGCGTAATTTGACTCTGCCAAATATCAGCACTGGCCTCAAATAAAATCTTTTTCATTCAGGTTCTCGTTTTAACGTGGATCAGATTTGTGGAATTTTCAGTTTTACCACTCCAAAATATATTGAGCCCATTTTTTTAAGACTTTCAAACATACAAAAAACAAAATTGAATCATGTCATGGGCGCTTTTCGACTTTTGTATTTTGCACCACGGTCGCCTCCGATAATGAGTTTTTTTGTAACTTTTTGACCCGGAAATCCCAAGTTATTGATTTATTTATTTTGCGGGGCTCGCAGGAAAGGCCAGCTGCTCTTCGTGCATGTCAGGAGAGGGTGGGGTGGGGGGGGCGATGGGGGCGCTCAGGGGAGGTGCGCGCGTGCGTGCGCACTGCCAGGTTTGTCCGTCGATCTGCGAGGCGCTCTCTCTGCTTTCGTCAGATCGGATGCTGAGTGCGCGCACCACCAACACCACGGCCCCCCTGAGCGCACCAGCAGCAGCAGGCGAGGAAGAAACAGATTGAAAAGCAGGATTGAGAGGAGGAGGGGGGGGGGCAAAGAGAGAGAGACGTTGTGGTCTGAAAAGCGATGCCGCTGGGCGGGGGCCGCTTCCTCCGCGCACCTTTTGGCGGCAGATGATGATGAAGACGAGGGCTTCAACGCTCCCTTTTCCCCGTTGAGGACGATGTCCTCTTCCGCTCGGTCTCCAGCCAGGATTCCCCTTCCTCTCCACATTTTGGATTATCGATGATTCTGGAGAAGCACCTTTTTTTTTCACGAGGAGGTGGAGGAAGAGGAAGAGGTGAGGAGATTTAAGCACCCGAGCAATCACGCCCAAAAGCTACGACCGACGCCTTAGTGGTGGTGGGGAGGAGGAGGAGGTGGAAAGAGAGAGTTGGGGGACGGGCGGAGGGGGGGGGATGCCGCACCGTCCATCATCAAACATCAACAAATGTCAGCTGGATTTTGGGGAAGCCCCCCAGCTGGCGCGGCGCGCGTAAGCCGAGCGGCGCGGCAACATTGCGGATATTTGCCAGGCATACCGTCAATCAATTATTAAAACCCTCTTCAGCTTTTTTTGCTGATTTGTTTCCTCCTCCTGCCACGGAGAAGCGAGAGAACGAACGAAAGAAAAGAGGGGTGGTGGCGGATGGGGCTTCACTGGACCAACGGGGGGGAAGCCAACTGCGGATGCTCTCAGGATGCGGTAGGCTGCTGAGAGGAGGAGGAGGAGGAAGGGGGGGGGGGGCAGCGACGCAGTCTCCAGCACAAGTGGAGATGAGATGATCTTCTTCTTTGCAGCGAGCAAACGGAGTTTATTTGTCATGGATTGTTTTTTTGTTTTTTTTGGAGTAGTTAAGATTACATAAACGCCCTCCCCCGCCCACCTACATGGAGGTGTCTCCCCGCCACTGAAGGAGAGCATCTCCAGCAAAAGAGGAGGAGGAGGAGGAGGCACGTGGAGGCGTCCCTCCGAGCTCCCTTCTAACCTCTGGCGTTCGCTGTGTGCAGAATGGCGCGCTTCGGGGACGAGCTCCCCAACAGGTACGGAGGAGGACAGGGGGGACAAGGAGGAGGCGGCGGCGGCGGGCAAGGAGGCGGAGGAGGCGCCGGCCGAGGGGGCAGCCGCCAAGGGGGCGCCCCCGGGGCGCAGCGGATCTACAAGCAGTCCATGGCTCAGAGGGCCCGAACCATGGCCCTGTACAACCCCATCCCCGTGCGGCAGAGCTGCCTGACCGTCAACCGCTCGCTCTTCATCTTCAGCGAGGACAACCTGGTGAGGAAGTACGCCAAAAAGATCACCGAATGGCCATATCCTTGCAAACTCCACTTGTCGCTGTCGCGCGCGCCCGGTTTCAGGGTGCTGGCCACGGTTGCCGTGACGCCAGGGTCTTGTTCAGCCAGCGCTCGGGCGGTTTTTTTTTTTTTTTTTTTTCGTTTTTTTTGCTCGGCGCCTTGTAGAACTTGCTCAAAGTTGGAGTTCTTCCTCGCCAACAGAGGTGGGAAAGTTTCGGGGCATTTTAAGACCCACAAAAAAATAAATAAATAAAAATATGTTGCCTGTGACGATATAGAAGGAGAGACTCTCTTCATCTGGCAGATAAAAAAAACTTTTTCTGGCTTTTGGCGTTTGTCAATACTCCGCAGTAGAAATGGGTTTACGCCCCAAAAATGATTTCTCACAGAATGGCAGTTTTTTGGGTTTTTTTTAAAGGAAACATGATGAAATTGTAAGAAGTTTTTTTTTTTTTTTTTTGCGCTTTTGTCACCTCAAATTATTAAACAAACAATAAAAGACTGAGGAAGGGCAGTAATTTATTGACACAGCTGCAGCTATGAAAGATGCAGTGAGCTATGCTGACTCACTGAATGGCTTGAGTTAAATGTGATTCACGTCCACTCCACTAACTGTCATCATTTAACCGCCATAACTGTTCACAGTAACAAGACACTTTTTTTTTTTTAAACTAACGTCCGTGACGTATGCGCTACTCGTGTGTGAGGCAGGCGGATTTTTTTTTTTTTCCATTCCGGGGCTAAATTGGAGCTTGAGCAATTCATCAAGGGTCTGAGAAAGTCATTTTGAATTGTAAGATAATAAGGATAAGCGGTACAGCAACTCGTCCCCGTGTAGCACCACCCCCAGTGTTAGCTGCCAAAACTTGTCCCACTTCCCACAAGTTCTCCTCCTCCCCATCAGCATGACAAGCCGAGATATGCCCCCCCACCCCTTATTGTGGTCTTCAACTCAAAAGCTGTGCTGATCTCAAATCCAAAGTGATGCGACGCTGTCTTCCCGTTTGGGGCAATTTTGCAAGCGCTCAAATGGGCGGGTTGGGCCCTGATTATGAGTGCGCTCATTCCATGCCAACATTTGTCAACGTTGCACGGAGACGTCCCTTATTGTGCTCTCGATCCTTATTTTCGCAACGTCATACGAGAAAGTACAAATCTCTGTTTTCATATTTTGGGATTCGAGATAAAAAGCCAATGCAAAGAAAAAAAGTGAAGTGAAGTTGCTACAGATGTACAGCAATACCCCTCCCCCACACTCCCAAAATAAATAAATAAATGAATATATAAATAAAACATTTAAAGTAGATGAAACGTCGCCAGTGCATCAGCCGCCTAAAAATATTCAACACCTCGCCCCATGACTCGCCGCGGCTGGTTGAATCCACCGGTTGAGAAAATTAAACACCGTCCTCAAATAAACCCATGGGAACAAATGTATTCAGAGGAGGAACGATTTCCGAATGTGTAAATTCTGGAACTTGCTTTCAATTACCCACACAATGTACACGCGACTCGCATGTGAGCCGGGCAAGATTTTTTTTTCCTCCTCCGGGGCGAAATTGGGGATGGATTGATTCATTAAGGGTCTGAGAAAATAATTGGGATGGCATATGGCCCCTGTGGAGCACCATCTCTGGTATGGGCTGCCTAAATTTGTCCCACTTCCGACAAGTTGGCATTTCTCCTCCCTGTAATGGGGCGTGACAAGCCGAGATACGCTCCCTCATCGTTCTCTTCAACTCAAAAGCTGCACTGATCGCAAATTCAAACGTTTGTGACGCTGCCACAAAATGGAGATTAAGGAGTTAAAACAGCAGCACAAAGAAACGGGATAGTTTCTACAATGGAAATTTTGCACGTGTCGTAAATGAGTCGCCCGTGCAATATTTCCTCAAATCATTCAAGGACCGCCTCCCTTGAATAAACAAAAGAAAAGTAGCAAAGTTGACCGATTTTTCGCAGGCTCTAGTCAAATTCCCTGCGCGGTATTTCCTCATCTAGTGGCCTACCTTTGATTTGACCCCTATGCCGAGTTGCGTGGAGTGTCGTCCCCTTAAAATTAAACACCCTCCTCAAATATCCATCGCTAACCGGAACGGCAGCGCAGGTGTCTTATTTCGCATGTTGTATATGACCGTGTGTTTAGCATTGAGCATGTTAGCGTTACGTGTGCGTGAGCCAAGATGCAACTTTTTCAGTGCATTTAGCTCAGACCGGCAAGCGAATCGTACGTGCGCGTGCGGGCGTCGGCACTATTCCGAGCTAACGGCAAAACTTGAGTGCTGATGTCAGCACTGTACCAGGCTTAAGGAAGGCTGAGAGGGAAGAAATGAGTGCATGTGCATGCGCGCTCTCTAATTACTCATGACCATATAAGGGAGTCCGCCGTGTGAGTCCTGCAGGAGGAAAAAAAAAACGACACTTAATTGTCAAGACAGGACAGGTTGGAACATTCTGTCGTCTCGGAAACAAGTCTGAAATCTAATTAGTCGTGTGAAAGTTGATTTTTGCCCTGCGCGAGTTCAAAATGCTGTCGAGTGGCGCACATGTGAGAAATAGCACCATCTAGTTGGCCATCTGCTAGCGTGTGGATGCAAAATGGTTGCCGCATCCCGGCACTCCAGATCACAGATCCCTCTGGTGTATTGCAACAACAGATAATTGTTGCTCCTCGAGAAGTAAACAAGAGATTAGCATTTAAGATTCCATTCGAAGGTAGATGCTAACTACACGGCTATGCTCAAATGCCGTGTGTGTGTGTGTGTGTGTGTGTGTGTGTGTGTGTGTGTGTGTGTGTGTGCGTGCGTGTGTGCGCGCACGTTGGGGGATAATGCCATAACATGCACATGCACACATGCACATAGCATGTTAGCGGACAAAAAAAGGGGACATTTGGTGTGTTTACGGTCCAGTGTGCAATGTGTTGCTCCATCATGTCACCGTACACACACACCATGTGCGTGTGTGTGTGTGTACGTGGGTGTGGGTGTGTGTTCGAGAGAGACTTGATGGGGTTTTGGTCACTTTATTTGGCACCACTCGTTCATGTCAACCGTGTACGATCCTGTCACGATGACTCCCGTTGCCAATCAGTCGGCTCTGTTGCTATGGCAACAACAATCTCCCTCTTCTGCTGCACGTGTTTGTGCGCACATGTCGTGTGTTTATTCAGATGATTTTATGTTGTTCAGGAGCGGTATGTTCCACAGTCAGGTACTAACGAGTACCAAGAACGAATTGGGGGAGAAAAAAAAAATTCCCAGCTGGTGCAGAGTTGCCCCAATTAGTGCAAATTTGCCTTGATGTGGTTCCATCCCACTCCTTTAGGTGGCGGTAGCTGCTGTTTCTCACCTCTTTCATTACCCATCCGCTGCTGTTTATTTTTTTTTTTCTTGTCAACCTGCACGCGTCCCATGCGCTCTTGGTGAAATAAACGGCAAGTAGCCAATGAGTGGCGCTTGCTTCCGCCGTTAATACTCGGCTAAGATCATTTGAGTAACTTTTAGTGGCATTTCTAGAAGGTTTATAACACGAACAGATGTATACAGTACGCAGTGGTAGCAACTTCAGTTTGTGGCACTCACGAGACCCCGCCCCTAAAAGGCACACATCCGACACAAGAATGACTTCTTAACGGTCACTCTTCTTGTGCTTGATTTACGTTTCAATCCAACGTCGTGCTATTGCTCTTGGTCAAAAGAACGCGTTTTCAAAACGTGCTCGTTCGGAGACCTTTTTCGTCTCATTGATGTGAGATTCGAGAGCAAATTGAGTTCCAAGTCCTCATCATGGTAACGCTGTATTTGCGCCATTCCACGCCGTTGAGCATATATCGTTCATAAGTTGTCGTTTTTACGCAAAGAATCCCGCGGGGGAGGCTGCACCCGTCCGTCCGACTGCATCGTCAGCTCGCGTGTCACTGGGACCAGACGGCGGATTGGCCCTGTCACTCGCTCGGGGAAAAAAAAAAAAATGAGGGGGGTTGCGTGTTGGGGTCGAGTTCAGCAAGGCTGTCAATCACGACAGCGTCCCGGCGGGCAAAGACGCTGAGGAGGATGAAATGAAGACGAGGGGGAGGAAGGAGGAGATGGATAAGTGACACTTTAATTAGGTAAAGGCTCGCCCGGGCTTTCAGGAGCGACTTTTATGGCTCGATGGGGTCGGAGCGTCAATACGCTGACACGCTTTGACTTAAACACCGAGCAGCTGCCTGCCGCGCTGGCTTATGGGCCATTTTTATTCGTGGCCAGCCTGCGCTGTCGCCGGTTGTCTTTTCGGACGTATTTTTCCATCACCGATGGCATTCATGGCAAACTGAGATGGGTAGACCAGGCAAGGGTGCCCAAGTCCGGTCCTCGAGAGCACCGATCCAGCCCGCTTTCGATGCCTCCCTCCTCCAACACACCAAGCCTGATAACAATTCGGATCAGTTGGATCAGGTGTGTTGGAGGACGGAGACACCGAAAGCGGACTGGATCGGTGCTCTCGAGGACCGGACTTGGGCACCACCAGCGAGGTTGATGTGGAAAAGGGAAGCGCTTCGGTGCAGACTCGTTTTCAATGGCCCATCGATGTTTAAGCGTCTTGAACCGGAACAAGTCAAAGTCCAAAGTCCGTCAGGTTTCCACTGCGCCACCGAGCCAGGGAAGGGGTCCAACTGAATCATGGGAGTCTGCGGAATTCTCACAAGTCAATGAACTGATCCATTCAAATGAGTGGAGTCTGCGTGTTTTTTTGAGTCCCCCGCAAGCGGGCCAGTGAACAGACACCACGAGTCCCCGGAGTCTGCGGTGTTTCTGCTCAATTTGTTCACCAAAGTCATAAAGCTTAGCCAAGCGAATCATCCAATTCTGCTTTTTCTGGCAAATCTTCTAATTCGAGGCATTGGAGCGATGCAAACAAGTCTGTGGTGTTTCGAGTGAGTCCCCTAAACCAAGTCCGCCAATTCATGCAACCAAATCGGTTGAGTTTGAACTATTTCTTGTGAGTCGAGTCAGTCGATCAAACCGGATCTG